TATTTTCACGTTGGCTTTTGGGATGCATGTTTCTTATTATATGATGTCTCTCACAGTTTTTTTTTATAATTTCTTCTACTTTAATAAAATGTCATTAATGTTTCACGTTGGTAGAACATTTCACAGATCTTTATTTTAAGTTGGATTTTAAACAAAACGGCACCACAATGGTTTTGCCTTAATGTCTTGTATGACGATTGTGTCCTTCAGAATGACAATCACGGTATATCTGTAAGCGTGATTACACCTTGTAATCAAGTATCTACACTGTCTTATCAACTGCTCCTGCGCCCAGACACAGGCATCTAGCTGCTGCTCACTTACAGCAACAGCTGACCTGGCAGCAGTACTGTGTGTCTTACCTTTAACAGAATGTGAGAGAATTGGGTCATTGTGGGAAAACATGGGCCCTCAGAGTCACTGCTGCCAAATGGTGTAAAACCTGACGTGACCTGAGATAACTGAATTTGTTTTGGCTGCAAAAGAAGTGCTGGGTGCATTTCAGACAGTTACCAAAAACAGCCCTGTAGCTGACCAATATTGTCCTTGTTTTCATGATGGGCTCTGTGTGTGTGTGTGAGTGTGAAAGCTGTGGTGTGGGCAAATTACCAGATAAATAAAAAGCCACTTGTCCTTTTACACCAGGAGATTAACTTGGTGAAATTACAGAAATAATTTATGACTCTCACATTTATTGTCCCCATAAAAACCTCCATGTGTCAAGGCTGAATTTTTTATTTCATGCTTGTGGCCCAAAGTGTGGACTTTGCATTAAGGTGACAGTTGTGGTTTTTACGACGCTGCTCATTAGCATGCAAATGTGGTATATGCTGCTTCATTTATTGTTCCACCACATGTCTACATTTTCAATAATATGGCAAACAATAAATGGAAATGTCTCATAGAAATGTGGATTTTGCAAGTTTTAATAGAATTTCACACTCATCCTTAACGTCATCAATCATCAATTTCTTTTTTTTTCCCTGTAAAATAAGACAAAACTGTCAAAACTGCTTATTGTAGCATAAGGTACGGCATGCCTGGGTATCGCTGGTAGCTGTGTTGTCACAGGCATCACCTCCTTGCAGGGTCTCCCGAGGCCCGTGGTCTTAGGTGAGGTCGAAAATAAGAACAATGTCTTGGAAAACGTATGCTAGACATGCCAATCACCTGCTACTAAAGTCAGGCATACCACAGTATGAGGTGAGGTCATGATGCTACCACTGCATAGATGCACAGAAATGCACGGCCACTCCTTGTTTCTTAGGGAGGGATGGATACATGGAGTCCCAACCGGCCAGAGATTTTCTGGTGCTGGTCAAAGCTCTAATCCAGATTCCCACTAATCTACAACACTGATGAAAGAGCTAATCAAGCTAGCCTGGAGCTCTGCCAATTTAATGCCTTGTCACCAATTTTATTTGTGAATTTCACAAGCAGATCCTCTGGGTGCAGCGGAGAAGTAGGGTATGTCTGATTGGGTAACCTGAGACCCCTTGTTTGCCAGCGATCTCGTCCGTGACCTCGGCTTGGCTGAAGTCTAAAGTCCAATGCAAAACTGGTGCAGTTTGCAGCCAAGCGTGAGGAAACTGAAATTAGAGTCAGCACCCTCTGAATCCCTGATACTCTGCCACTGCCTTTGGTTTAGGAGGTCAGGCATAGAATTTCACATTCTTGTTCACAAGCGAGTGTCACGGGTGTGTGAGATCAGTAAGCGCTGGCAGGGATGGTCATATTGTTGAGGACTCTTAGAGCGAAGAGGAGCTGCATGAAATCAGGATTTGATGAAACTCTGTTGGCTGTTCTCTCTTTTTTGAACATTTATATGTGCTTATACATAATATACTGTATGCTGGTCACTTCAATTCACCGAGGCACTAATGTTCATTCACCAACATGATGATTACATCATGCTTAAAAGTTGTTCCGAGGTAAAACTGTTTGTATGACATATTTCCTGTGAATATTTATGCAAAATGTATTCAGTAAAAAGTCATCAAAGCAAAATACACACAATATACAAAGTTGTCATTAAATGTTCAGTGTTGAACACTAGAGGGTGACAGAGTTATTTTCTCCTTCAGCTTCACTAGACTGGAATGGAAATCCTTTAACCTTCACATGATATTTTGGGTCAGGGTTTCCTGTTTTTAACTTTTCACATCAACATTTGACCTGAATTTTAAAATGTTCAGTGTGTCTAAAGTTGTGATGTATAGTCTGACCCATATGTTTCACAGATCTGCCTCTCTCTCCATTAACCTTTGGCCCCAAAACCAAAACCGTTTTTATTGGCACATCAATCTGAAATTGTGTGAGTGTTGTAGCAGCTGCAGTGTAAATAACGCACAGAGTGCGGGTGAGTTTCCACATGGCTTTGATACAGTTGCTGTCATGATGTGGGCTCCCCAGGACCTATAGCATTTAAGAAATGTCACTGTGCTGAATTCAGTGTAAGTACAGTGTTACAGCCAAAGCGCCTTCATCTCTCTAAATGAATAGCTCTCAGTATGTTTATATGGCTTGTGGTTTGAACCTGAAACCAGCAGCGCTTTGTAACTGATCACACGCTTTGCTTTGCATTGTTTTGTTAAGACTGGATTGGTTTGCTAAGTGATTTTCATACAAATCCCTGTGTGAGAAATATCCCCCAAATCCCTTATAAACTTCACTGTATTAGCAGCTGGCCAGAAAGTATCGAAAGAACCGGTCAGGGGAGGATTAAGCTTTATTGTCAACCTAATTGTTATTTATATTTTAGATAAAGGGATTTTTGTCATTGAGGGATTTTATGCTTTGTCATTCTGTACAGGATTTCCCTCTGCCGGGTTGGTTCCTGCTTAACAACTTCCTCCAGAAAGGCTGCTCAAACAATGCATATCCAAAGCTGGCTTCTTATCTGAGATCTCACTAAAGTCCACGCATACTGGATGTATTTCAAGTTCTCATTCTTCGCATTCTTTTCCATCTTCATATTTGATGTGCTTTTCTGACTTCATGTGTCAAATAATTGTTGAGAAGTTGTTCATCAGCCTTAAGTTGACTTATACCAAAAGTTAGACTCATTCGTTTCTGTGGCACTGGCTTCAGGAATGAGGCTACAGTGTTTCAAAAGTGGGTTAACTGATCCCCAGCCTGTCCGTTGCAGCTCTGGTTGGCCTGGTTTTTTTTTGACAAGCTGCGCTGACAGTGTTTCCCAGGTCTGCGCTCTGCCAGGTTATGACGCAGGTGAGTGAGAGCCTGGATGGAAACGGTGGTGAGTTTCTCAGGAACCCACCAGGTGGTGAGTAAACCTGGCATTGCCAAGTATAATCCAAGGTCACTATTTGGCAGGAATCAAAAGTCCAGCTTAGTATTTTGGGACATTCTCCAACATAAACATACTTGATCTATATGCCTGGCACACATATCCGTGTATTTTTTATGCATATGTGCCATATATATATATATATATATATATATAGTTTGTTTTTGTTTTTTTTCCCTAAAGCAACATGACACATGTTTGAGTTGACTCATTTAGCAAATCTTCCTGTGAAACAGCTGCATTCAATCCACAAACTTCGCTTTGAAATCCTCTTTTTTACATTCTGTAAATGTTAAACTGGCCAAATTCAACAAAGGTTTGAATAAGAAGAATTCATTTTACATCACAGGGCTTTTCTCTGCTGTGGTTGGTAGAAGTTTCTAGTCTAATGTAGACTTAGAAGACTTTATTAGTCACACATTTGTCATACCAGGTTAGATCCCCCTTTGCCCTCAGAACTGCCTTAATCCTTTTTAATGTAGATTCACCAAGGTGCTGGAAACATTCTTGTGCCAAGAAAACAGGGGTAGGGTTAGCGCCCCCCAACCCCCACCCCAAAAAAAAAAACAAAAAAAAAAAACAAGGTAGGATAGATCCATGTGCTTATGTTATTCACACCAAATTCTAACCCTACCATCCAAATGTCACAAAAAGAAATAGACACTCATCGTATCACATTTTTCAAATCTTTGAATCTTTGAATGTTTTGTTTTTTTGTTTTTTTTTTTATGTAGAGAATAATCTCACAACTTACAGAAACACCATTACAATACTAATGCCACACACAAAGTAGCTAAAGCAGGGCTGGGTGGAATCAGTGCTATTGTGCATTAACCAACAAGCTAAGTTTAGTGCCAAACAGTGATTTGTGATATTTCTGTGTGTGTGTGTTTTTTTTCGTGTATTTTATCTGCTTCTACTGGTCAACAGGATTTAAAAGGGATTATATATACATTTATAATGAAGAAATTACCAGTTTTGCATTATTGCAGCTACTTTATAACCAATCCAGTCCTTTTTGGTCACTTAAAATATCTTTACAGAAGTATAATGTTATGTTTCTTGCAATTTCTGCTCATGGCCAGATCTATCTTGAAAAAGACATTTTTTTTATACCAGATAAAAAAGCTATGTAAAAGTCACTTTACAAAAAAAAAAAAAACTGGTAGGAGCATCTACCTTGTGATAGTAATGTTCTTTGTGGCTCAATATCATATAATTCATGAAAGATCACTTTTTGGCACAACCACCACTGTATGCCATAACGACACAGCTCATGAGCGCTCCCTGTAAATGGTTTGATCACTGTTATGTATCTAAGATAAAGCTTAGAAACCCCAAGTTTCTTCTTGAAAAAGAAAGAAAGAAAGAAAGAAAGAAATTATATTATATTATATTATATTATATTATATTATATTATATTATATTATGCTATTGATTTCAGCCTTTAATAAAGTGTGTCAAACACATAATGAGCGAGAATGAGCAAATGTTAATTAATGGTATCATCTGATATATATGCTGCAATTTAAATACACAAGGTTGATATATGTCTTTGGGGTTAATTGTAAACTAAAGGTAATATATAAAATACATAACTGGCGATATGTTTTTGGTAGCTGTGCTGTACTGATCTCAGGCCAGCTAAGAATGTACTTTCTCGCTCTCCGGGGGAGGGCGTGTATCATTCTTACGGTTCCTCAGTCTGAGGTCATCTGGCCGGAATGTAAAACCTCAACTTCATTGTTCGGGTCTTGAATGCATGAACGGAACAATAGACAGCATTAGGACCCGGAGATGCGGAAGGCGTCCTCCTCCTCCGTCTCATTATCCATTGATTTGACAGCCTGCGCCGACGACCAGTTAGAGGAAAGGATGCGAGGAGGAGGCGGCTTCAGTGCGGCGTGCCGAACTTTTCTAACATTTCGTGGCTGTTTGTGAGATAACAGAGATCCACTGCGATGTCTGTCAAGCACAGCTGCCGGGTTTTTGACACATTTTCAACCGGATATCTAATCTCGAGCTGGTGTCTGGATTATTACTCCTGCTGTGTTTTGTTGACGGTTGATGAATCAGTTTAACGGATCGATCTGATAAGATTCAGCGGACTGAGGGGTCACATCCTGACTTTCTCTTTTTCCCCCTCTCATTTTGAAACTGTTGGTGCTGCTTAAGGTAGGCATAGCAGGCTTAAAGTGGAGACTGGAGACGCACACGTGTAGGCTGCCTTCTTCATTTGGCTCATCGATCCCTCATCTCTCTCTCTCTGTATAAAAGTTGGTTTCCTGTTTGGAGCAGCGTTCAGATAAAGTGAGAGACGACATGTCGCTAAGCAGAAGTATTGAATTTGAACACTTTGAGGAACGAGACAAGCCTCACCGGCCACCGAGGACCAATTCGGGCTCCGGGTCTCAATGTGGTTCTAGAGGTAACGGGCTGGTGCCAAGCCCCGCGCACAGTGCGCATTGTAGTTTCTACCGCACACGCACTCTCCAGTCCCTCACCTCCGAGAAAAAGGCCAGGAAGGTGCGCTTTTATCGCAATGGTGACAAGTATTTCAAAGGTTTGGTGTACGCCGTGTCTAACGACCGATTCAGATCCCTAGATGCCCTGCTCATGGAGCTCACACGGTCCCTGTCAGACAACGTCAACCTTCCGCAAGGAGTCCGGACGTTGTTCACGCTGGATGGGGGCAGGAAGATCACCAGCCTGGATGAGTTAGTAGAGGGTAAGATCGATGATTGATGAAGCCTTCAACAATCACTTTGCGTGACCGCAAATGATGACAGGAGCTCAGTACTTGAGATTAGATCAACGGTGGCCTAATGTGCATCGACTCAGACATGCTGTTTATCGTTTAAAAGCTACATTTTTTGCCTTGAATATTGATTAAGTTGCCTGAAAACTTACAAAGCAAATTATATTTAGAGAGTTGGCTCCTTGTCCTGCTTTTACAACATAATTGGGAAAGTTCTGACTCTGTTCCAAATATCTGCTGCACTTAAACCCATTGGATGCAGTGCAGCGATATAGATTATCGCTGTATATGCACTGACGTAACCGCCCTAACATGTTTGACCCAGTGCCATACATGCACTCAAGCATACAGACCCCTCCTCAGTACAGTTAATGCTCTGTTCTGCAAAATGTGCATCACTGCCCATTGATCTCAGCTGGACTCAAGCTCCCAGCTAACGCCTACTTTATTTGTGAGCTTTTGTGGGCGTGAAAGTGCCCTGTGTTTCACTAAATACACCCCTGCCTGGAAATGAATGAATGGATAAGTGAGTAAGTGAGTGAACGTATGTATTTTGTTGGCTTCACTGGCATTTAAAATCTTTTGCAGTTGATTGAGCTCAGCCTTGGGGCTTGTAGGATAAAATTGCCCTCCCCCATCCCCTGTCTGTCCGTTTTTTTATAAGATAAACGTGAATACTACTACAAAAAGTGGTAACAACTCTTCCTGTAATCCTTCTATATGGAGAACTGTACTCATCTAGTCAAAAAGCCCCTAGACAAATTTGGTCACTCACTGCAGAAACGAATAGAATATACTCTCCTACCTACTCCTTCTTCCCTGTGCTGTTTACTCTGCAGGGAGAGTGGCCTCTCAGCAAGTTAATCTTCATGTTCACTGTCTGCACTGTGACCTGACTGCAGTCCTCTATTACTGCTCCTCACACACACTTAGGATCCACTGACCTCTTACTGAAGTTATTAATCCTATTTTCATCTCACATCTTCCTAAATTTCAGTCTGTGCTGCACTCATTTGCTTTACTCTGTCCCTCCAGAGACTGGGGAAGATTTAGGCCAGTGCCTGATCTAAATTCTGTAGCAACAGTAGTTTAACAAACTGCACCAAGGTTGTTTTGGTGCACTGACTTCACCCCTCAGTGCTACTTCAGTACCTCACATAACCAGTGATTTTATTTCAATGGGCAGTTCATCCAAAATGACTGTTCTGGTGGTGTATGCAGAAGAATTTTGGTATTAGGACAAGTGTTTGAATGTACGAGTGCCCACATAGTGGGGAAAATAAAGCAGGTCCTTTTGTGTTGTTTTTGCTGTAGTCAACCTTGTTATTACGGTTAAATAACCCCAAAATGAATACTTAAAGAATACTTCGTTCCATTTGGCCTCCATTGATTTGATTGTATTGCTTTTCTGTCTTTTTTTTTTCTAATCTCACCAAATAGGGCCTATTATTCCAATAGGAACAAATATTCCATTTATGATTTGGTTTGAAGAGACAGGCCCTTCAAGGTGGGAATTTCAGGATATGATAATGCCCTGGGTCAATGGTAAGCATGTTTGTTGACTGCTTAATTTCTCCTTGAGCCGCTCAGATTGCAGGTGGGCCATATTGTCGATTTTTACACACCCATCTAATGGACAAAGAGAGCAAACATTACTGCACAGCTCAGCAGTCTGCATCCATTGATTGAGGCTTGCTGGGGCTCTTTTGTGTGAAAACCCAATCAGGCGCCATTCACATGTGCACCTCGTATGACTAGATGGGATTACAGAGCCAACCAGTCGACTCGAACTGCTGTGCTTGTGGAAAACAACGGCTATAGCCAATCCTGAAATGGGTTTAGAAGGAGCTTTGCAGGTTACAGTGGGGCTCCGTAGCATGCTGACAAAGGGAATTCTAGTCGGGGCAATAACAAGTTTGGGCACCAGAGGGTCTTTATTTGAACCTCATGGGGAAATTAAACCTTTTAATGGTCGGTGTTCAAATTGGCTTGTGATACTAAAGCATTTGAGCCTTAGGGAAAATATTTTGTATTTTACAGCAGAGAGAAATGGCTGAAAGAGTTTTAAATCATGACTTAGAAACAGTTCTTTACTGATAATACACACCTCTCATGACAGACGTGTGCTACATGTTTCTGTAAAATGTGAGAATATGATTCCTAAAGGGTTGAAGTTCAACCCTTTAGGATGATAGAAACAATGTAAATGTAAAAACTCAAATTGACAGTTGAAATTCAAGTGTGAAGTCAAGGCCACAGTCTGATAAGGTTAAAGAAAGTTGATCTTTCTTTGTAACATTGTGAGTATAAATCGAAGAACCATGACCTCATACTTTTTGCAGTTATTATATCACTTTATTTCTTTGTGACAGCAACTCTGTTATCACAGTAATAACAGTGGCTGTTTATTGACGTCATGCTGGACTGGTGACCGCTGTGTCACCTCGTAAAAGTTGCTGGGCTGGTTAAACAGTCCGTCAGGCCTGTCCTCATCTGTTGTTCACACGAGGACAGCAGCCAGCGGCGGGTGGCTGGGGCTCCGATCACATCCCCGTGGGACGTCGGGGAATAGACCCGTCACCGCGCACCGTCTGAGGGCATGTCAGCATTCTGTCATTTCCCTGCAGATGAACGGCAGCCTCGGTTATATATTTTGTTTCGGTGCTCAACCACAGCTCAGTCCCCTCCAGCTGTGGCCTAGCCTTTTAATTAGCCTTTGGTTAATTGCAGGCTTAATAAAACCTGGTATCCTGGGACGCGGTGTCTCAGTTGGCCTTTTTACGCTCAAGTTCAATTCGCTTGTTCTGACACAAATCCAGTAACCAAAATGTCAGTGTTGGGATTGATTTCTTATCAGCAGATGAACTGGTGAGAAAAATATGCTGAACATATCCTACAAATAAAAGTTTTCCTTTAAGTTTTGAACAAATACGTTTTTGTGGTATGTAAAGGATTACTCTTCCTGCTACTTAACTGGGATTCCCTGGACAGAGCCAGCCACTGTGGTTCTTATATTCATACACAGATGCAGCCATGAGTAATAATCTATTTCTCGGTTTCTTAGTATGTACATGCTGATTCCTAGTAACCCTGTAATTATCTAGTTTCCTAGAACAAGATTTCTTTCAAATAAAGCCGAATATCTCTCGTGAAGTTGAGCATGCAGTAAGTTGCTTCTGAGAGAGGCTTTGGTACTTGCAGACACTATTTGTCACTTTCCAGCTCTTACTCATATTTGGAACAGACCGGCAGCAGGGAAGCACAAATCCAGCACTTTCAAAACAATCTCCAGACATTCTTGATGTGGTTTTTGTTCACCCACCAAGCTCCCGTACTTATCACGACTTTCTTGTTAAGGAGAAACAGTTGCGTGCTGGGTGTTTAAACTGGAATGCTGGCTGATAAAGCAAAACGCTTTGCTTTGGAGGAAGGCCAATAAAGCAGGCCTGCAGCTGGAAGGGAGAGAGAAGAACAGCGTCACACTGTCAGTTCGTTGTTATTCACCATATGGGAGCAGTGTTTAGTAAGGCATGCTATGGTCGATGTTGTGCAACGTATGTGTCCTTTAGTGTGCAATTAATAGCAAAATAACCTCAGCCATTCTCTTTGGTAAATGTACACACAGATGTTTTTTCTTTAAAGGTATGTGTTGATCCTAGCAAGAGCTTGCCACAGTTTCCTTATAATCCCAGAGTGATGCAGTAATGTTAATGTCAGGGTAATGATGAGGCCATCTCACCTGTTGCAGGACTTCCTCCCACTGATGACTTGAGTTCTTTACGTGGCTATTTGAGCTTTATGCGCCAGTGTTTAGCTTCTCTTTACAGCACCTCATACAGCTCATTTCTTCCTGCAGGAGAGAGTTACGTGTGCGCCTCCAATGAACCCTTCCGACGTGTCGACTACACCAAGAACGTGAACCCCAACTGGTCAGTGGGCAGCAAGACCAGCACATCGCGCTCCCTCCCGTCTCTCTTCCCGCTGAAGAGTGAGCTGCAGAGGGAATCTAAGGACTTCATCAAACCCAAGTTAGTCACAGTCATCCGCAGCGGCGTCAAGCCCCGCAAGGCCGTTCGGATACTGCTCAATAAGAAAACTGCACACTCCTTCGAGCAGGTGCTCACCGACATCACAGACGCTATCAAGTTGGACTCTGGCGCAGTGAGGAGACTGTACACACTGGAAGGCAAGCAGGTAGGTCTGATGAATATCGATTTAACTTGCGCTACATCATGTTAAACTGCCTTTAACTGTGTGGACACCAGCTCCAGTAATTACTACACAAACTATGACCTGTTCTTGTTTTAGTTTGTGTGGTGATTTTATTTGCTACAGTTGCATAACTTAACAGCCAGAGCTAGTTAAACATATTGTTTTCAATGAGATGAAACTGGCTAATGTGCTTACGGGAACCAGATGGAGCAAAGCTGAGCTTATCTCTAAAAACCGCCGCGATTTATAGGTTTCAGCTGTGTCAGCAGTCCAGATAATTAAAGTCAGTTTAATCACCCATACATAATTCTACGCCCATATATTATTTCAACAAAGCAGTAATGGATACACTTTGGCTTTAAGGCCTTGTGCCATATCCATCAGTATGGTATCCCCACCTCGTGCTCTGGTTGTACCACATGAGACTATTTATGCTATAATGCTATCCATCTGGGGCACATGTTGAAATTCTGGTGTTCAGACATGAGGTGAGCTACAACACATGGTGGCCCCCGTGTAAAATATTTACGCTGACATCTCATCTGACCATGAACAAACTGTCATTCTCACAGAAAATATAAAAAGTACTAAATATAAAAAGTATTTGCAAGTTAACGGGGTAAGATAACGAGGTAACAAATGAGGCAATGCTAGGCAGAGGAGTATGATAAGTGTATTACACAGTGAATTTACCAATAATGAGAATATTGCACAGAGTTTCTGATCATTTGAAATATTGTACATGGCTGTGATTATTACACAGATTATTCATTGTTGTTATGATGCTGGACAAGAAGTCTGTTCTTGTGATGTTTGTATTTTGTGATGCATGTTGGAAGAGTTCGTGTGAAATGTGCTCAGAGAACTAAGTCAAAGTATGTTTGTCACATGTAAGATGTTACATACATTTATAGAACACTCATCTTGTTGCATGATTCAGTGGATTTCAGGGTTGAAGTTAAGACAGAGAACCAGTCTTTGTACCTGACAATTTTCAGAGGAATGTGTTTGCTTGTACTCTTTGTTAAGCCAGTTGACACTGACCTATGAAGCGCTATGATGTTGTATGAAGAAGAACAGTGAGTATCTTCAGCATCTGTAAAGCACAGTGGAGAGACTCCGTCATGGTTTGGGGTTGCATTTCAGCTAGGGGTGTTGGAGAAAGGTACCATCAGATTTTGATCCACCATGCAGTACCATCTGGAAAGTGTTTAATTGGCAAGAGCTTCGTTTTTTAGTATCACAATGATTCCAAACAATCTGGCCGTCCAGTAAAAGCTTACGTGGATAGAAAAACACACAATGGAACACCAACAGTCGTGGATCAGCCTCCTTCAGCCTGGAGCTCAACATTAATAAAGAACTGTGGGATCGTATTGATACAGAATAAAAGGCAGCTAACATCCAAAGACGAGCTTTGAATGTCCTTCGAGAAGCCTGGAGAACTATTCCTAAAAATTAAAGGATAGCTTGCTAAAAAAGTTCAGGGTGTGTTGCAGAATAAAGGTGTTCACACCAAATGTTGACTTTCAAGTTACTCACAATTGTACAAATTCTGTTTTTGCTATATATACTGTATTTCTCTTGTACTTACTACACTTTTCCCCCATTTTCCTAGCAAAATTTACAAAAATTAGGAGGATAAAGATTTTTGTGAAATGCTGTATTTGGCCTATACTGGAATAGATTGATGCACATTTTAATCTAACAAATAATGTATCAATTCATGGTTTCATAAAATTAGTTTACTGGAATTAAGCATTTAGAAAGTGAAACCTTAATTACTGTAACTACTGAACTGATAGAGCTCTAGGAGTTTTGCATTTTTAGTGAAGCTAAACTGCATTTTATTTATTTTTAACGATCAGCTCCACTCACACAGGGATGTTGATTACAGAATTATGTCAAAGACTACAAAAATGTCAGCATGCTTTGTCCATTTTAGTACAAAATCACTAAATGAATTTCTTTGGTTACAGTTTAAGTTAAATTGAGCTTTAAAAGTGTTGGTGAGTGGGGAAAAAGAAAAATTAAACTGGGACTGAAAGTGTGACAACCAAACCAGCTGATGTTTGTTTTCTGTGAGCTGACGGGAATCTTTCTGGGCTGGACAGTCTGGACAAATTGACTCATGAGAATTGTGATCCTTATCACCTTTGACAGAGCAAGCAAACCATCCTTTCTGTTAGGCCAGCACTGCACAGAAACACTGACTCGACAAGATTATATAATAGCATCCAGAACATTGCTGTATTTATTTACATTGTTTTAGACTGAAGCCTCGCCTACCAAGCGAAAGCTCCCCAGTTTGACTCAGAGAGGAGCCACGTATCCCTTTGGGGTTGCATCAGGAAGGGGCATAAAAATCTTCCAAATCAGACATGCAGAGCTACGTGCTGTGGCGACCCCTTGTGAATAAGGGAGCAGCTAAAAGTAGCTTTTTTTTGGAAAGAAAAGAAAAAAAGCTCCCTGTAGCGGATGCTCTCCAACTTAAATTCGAAGTTTCCCTCTTTGACAATGAAAAGTTTTTACAGGGATTTTTTTTTAAAAAGGGAAAAAAGCTTCTTCATATTTGAAAACTACTTTAAAGAATTCGGTTAGCGGACTTCCCACCTAACACAGATTCCATATGTGTGACATAAAGCCTTGATATGTCTACTTCCATCCCTTGAGAGATTCCATGCAGACCAGCTGTTTATTCCAGGCTTTTTAAGCTCCAGATCAGGAGAAGCAGATATGGAGCTTCATTTGTGCACTTTAGAACTCATGATCAGTGTTGAGAGCTAATGCTTTGACCAATCATTTGAACTCACAAGAGGTGGGCAGAGTGTTCAAATGATTGCTCTACCCCAAACCATGCTGATACAGTTTGCCAGAATGAGGCACTGTGTTAAAGTCCACAATGTCTGTGTAAATGTAACTTGTGGTGGAAGTGGGTGAAACTGAAATTGCCGATGTCAGTGTTGTGGGAATGGCCCGTGTGTTCAGTGGTGCTTTAAACTGAACCGTAATGTCCCAATCTATATTTATTCTAAAGGAAAACATCAAAAACAGCACCCGCAAACACTGTCTGTACCAGCAAAACCTTTACTGCGTGGACAGAGATGATGATGGCGCTGTCACAGCTTGCACAGACTATACTTACTCAAAGGTGTTTTCAAGCCTGACATTTTAGTCATGCCCACAAGTGCACTGAATATGTCATGTGGTCAAAAGTAAAAATAACAATATAATTTAGCGTTGCTCTCACCCTGAGGGGAAAAAAGCAAACGACACATCAGTCGAATATATTATTTTATCAAACTGAAGATCAGTCGCAGCCCAACATTCACGGCAGTGATTCTAATAAATCACCGATTGGCTGACTGACTAGAAAAATCTTGTTTCCCCTTTAGGTTTTTATGTTTTTCAACCATAAATAAATCATTTGTAATAGTGACTCACAACATGTACTCTGTAAGTGTTTTGAGGTTATCCATTACAGATGACACATTACACAATTTATGTTGACAAGTGTGTCGTTTAGCTTCCTTAGATATTCACCGCAGGCGTCTTAATGATCACATTGCACCAGCCTGTGGATGCAGTAGTCTTTTTATTTAGCTTCCTTTAACAGATGGTTTCTGCTCTTTGGTGGAGTATAAATCCATCCATCTGGCAAGCGCTATATATAGATGAGTTAGGTCTTTATTAAAAGTAATGTTGGTCAATTCAAAGTATTAAAACCTCCAAAGTTTGTGAGGTGCAAATATGCTATTTAGCTAATAAAATGTGGTGTTTCAGTCCCATTTATTAGTGGAAACACTGGAAATGTGTTTGTGCTGCAGCATTTGATTCTGTTTTAAAGTCATTGTTTCTTTAGTCTCTTTAAGGTTTTTCCATTCCTGTTCATTTTACTGCTGGTCTTAGTTCAGTTTTCTGACACACTGACTGTATGCAGTGAGTTGATTGCTCTAACCAGAATATTACCCAGATCATGTTGGTAATACTTGCTAGTTGGGTTTTCATAGTATTTCTCCTGGTCCTTGTGATTTCTTAGTTAACAGCTTTTATGATGCTTTTCTGATGATGCCTACATCTCTCCTGGTTTGTGTACCACACAGCCTTTAAAGATTTGAATCGTCCTTGATCTGAGACTTTACAGTGGCCATTTCTTTTACACTATCTATCTATTGAAAGCCACATATCTAAAACTTCATCAGTAGAAGTTGTATTTGATTACTCTAAAATGCATTCCAAAATGCCCAGTCCCATAAGTGTGATGGACGGGTTAAAGAGTTATATTATTTTAATGCAGTCCAATTCAAGAGCATTGTAAGATACAGGCTTCTCGTGAATCCACAGTAGAAGGGTCACGGCTCTCACACAGAAACAGAAACTGAACAGTAGAACTCCCATAAAAGTTGGATTTACTGCAGCACCGTTTTAGTGGAAGTTTTAGGTTCAGTTCAGTTTAATTCAGTTTTATTTATATAGCATCAAATCCCTCGAGGCGCTTTATATCGTAAGGGGAAAAACCCTACAATAATATGCGGTTGCCTAATAACCTGGCAACTGAATGTATATTAGTAGTTCATGTGAATATCTTTCTAGTCTGAACCCCATAGCCTCTATAAAAAGCACTTCTAAGGCTCCTTCCTCAGTCACTCACACACCCATAAACACACGCAAACACTCCGAATGCCTTCCAGCAGCAGCCGACCATCTGCTCCTCCAAAATCAAATCGGGGGTACCAGCCACCCGGTCTGCAGACTCCCACCCGCTGATGGACTCACACTCGCACAGAGCCCCCGCCCTGGCCACAACCGAATGATTAGACCTACAAGCTGGAAGGAAGGGTTACAGTGCAGCTGTCAGGTGTGTTTGAGGGCGTTTGTGTTCACGGATGTTTTTTCGTGAGTAAGGGGCCTTTCACAAAATGTCTCTGTCCACTCTCCCTCCTCGAGTCAAAGCTCCTCTTCAGACTGAATGTTAATTGTAG